GGCCAGCTTACGAATCTCTTCCACTCGCTTCTTTAAATGAAATGAAAGGTAGTCCAGCATGAAAGCTCAGCATGTTTTCATCGAGATCTAAATAAAACAAAGTTAGTCTAAGCTTCCCAGTAAAATTAAACTATAAAAGATCAAAGCATATCCACTACTTTAGTTTGGTGAGGTCGATTATATACTTCTTTATTACATTTCTTCACATGTGATGCAGATCAGTCCAGCACATTAATAAACTAAACCCTGTGAAGAGCTGCTATAAACTAAACTTTCTTTAACCATTCAATTTCATTTTTTTATAAATACATTAAGGATGCTTGAAATAAATATATATATTCTCATTTTCTTCTTTTTAACATACTTTATAAAGGCACTTATTTCCCACGTAAGGAAGCCGAGGTGATTGAGCATATGGAAGCAAAGATAATAAATTTTGGTGAAGCACTGGTATTGACAGCACAGAAAGATATCTTGGATTTCGAGGGAAAACCTCGAGTTACTGGGGAGCAGTGGCTTGTAGCAAAACCCGGTGCATACCTGCTTGGACCGTATGAAACTCTGGTTGAAACTATCAAAGGCATTGCTTTAGATGAGAAGGTAATTTAATATTTAGGCTCGAGAGTAGGAAGGATGTATAATTGATTTGACTTCTTTTTTTGCTACTTGTTCGCAGTGTCAGCAAAGCCTCCAACAAAGCATGTTGTCCGGCTCCCTATGCCATGGTACTCATGATATTTGCGAACAGCGGAACCCTTACTTGTTACATTCCCAAACGTTAACTAGAATCATGATACGCATCTTCAGAACGTCTTGTTATTTCTAGCCCCAAGCCACAACTCGTCAGAGATGATTGAAGTTCATCTTGTGACCCGCTCTCAGCTAAGAAATCATGATATTTTCTCCCTCAAACCTGATACATCCATCTATCTCTTACCCTCGCTTCTCACTTATAGGATATCAAATTTCTAACTAGGGTATTTTGAAATCGATAGTTTGAGACAGTTTGGCGAGGCTAGATCACATTTAATTTCCTCTTGACTCTTTATTTTGTTTCATACTTGTTGATCTAATTTGGCCATTTCAGTCCACAACGAATTTAACCAACTTCTTTAAGATATTCAACATTCCCCCGACGATCTATTTTTAATTTAACCGGTTGAATGATTTCACTCTGCTTATGTCACCATATCCATTGTACCGAGGTGGTGTTTCCTTTGATCTGCCTCAATCATTCATTAGCATATACACGGTAGCCTTACAGAGCTGATTTCACTCTGTTGCTATAGGCCCACTTAACACTGTAGGTACGAAGATAAACTTGGTTTCGATGAATCTCCTCAGATAACATTGTTAGGGGGACCTCCATTTCGTATGAAAGTGCATGAAGAAGAGATTCGTTGGTCGATCTCACCAGATGAGGACGGATGAATCTCCAAGTACTGCAGCCGTTCGGATTTTATACGATATTCATGTTGACGCAGTCAACGGGGCTTCCTCCCTCATTTCTGGTGAAAACGTGCTGAGCTTCCGTCCATCATATGACATCGTCAGACATCGTCAGAGCTGGGTGTCATTCATGTACAAGGCTTTTGTTAACACTAGGCCAAGAAGACTATCTGGCTTTATCTTACCTCTTATATAGACTCAGTTAAGCCAAAATAAAATATAAAATAAAAAATCTAAATGGTTTTAGCCAAATCACTCTATATCCATCTAGGTTTTTTATTTTCTTTTTGCTTACCTGAGTTAATATAAGAGTACGTTAAAGCCTGATAGTCTTCTTGGCCTAGTGTTAACGTGAGACTCTTACAAGAATGAAACCCAGCTCTAATGGTGTACATTATATGATGGACGAAAGCTCAGCACGTTTTCACCCGAAACGAGGTAGAAGGTCCCGTGGACTGCGTCAACATGAATATCGTATAAAATCCAACCGGCTGCAGTACAACGAG